GTTATTAAAGTTGATAGTGATATTTTTAAAAATTGTGATTAAAGTTCATGACATTGACATTTAAAAAATTATTAATTATTCGTATTTTAAAAATTGTTATTAAAGTTGATAATGATATTTAAAAAATTGTGATTAAAGATAGTGAATTTAAAATTTATGCAGTAATTGACAGTTGATAGTTTTTAATTATCTGAATTAAATTTAGGAGCAAAATAAAATACTAAAATAGTATTGTATGGATAATGGCAGCGATTTTATGATTTTTATTCCATTCCATACAATTAATGTTATTCCATATCCATGTAAATCGGACATAATTAATAGTGTTTTTTATGAAATTGGGTTAAATTACTATTTATAGGCAGTAATTAATGTTTTTGGTGGGAATTAGTTACTAAAAATTAATTAAGTTAATCCTTATTATATATTAATAGATTATAAATAAAATTAATTATGATTAACTCTAAATAGAATCGGATTGGACAGTCAGACTAGATATATCAGGATCCGGTTTATTAATTGGTTTGGTTCGTTTGAATAATGCAAGTAAAAATACATATTTAAATAAACTGAAGATTTATATTTGTCAACTAGTTTAAACATTTTTAAGTTTTAATTTGTTCAAATAAACAAATATTTAATGAAATTTTTTATAAATTTATTAAAAAAAAGTACTACATGCATATGTATTAAAATATTAATAAATTAAATTAAGAGCCAACTAATAAATTATTGAATATATAACTTGATCGTTCGATAATAATTTGGTCTTGGGAACTTTGATTTACCGTACATTAATAAAATTTATAATAAAATATCATTTTGTTCACATAAATATTAATAAAATTATATATAAATATTTATAAATCCTTAAAGATGATGTCATAAAAACATTAGTAATATGATTATTTGGAGCTTCAACTTTATCAAATTTATTGTAATAAAATATTTTATATAATAAAATTTATGTTTAGTCTCAATAATCAATTTGGTCTGAAAAAATTGTTTATCAACTTTGTTATAATCTGGGGACCGGGGTTAACTTCAATTGTGTATTTTTTTTTTTCTTTTTTTTTTACTATTTCAAATATCCTATAAAAGTAATTCAGTCAACTTAGGTAGTAACCTAACTCAATCACCCGATTGATCCCAAGAAATTTCCTCACTTTCCTTAAATATATTAAATTATATGAAATAAAATAATTTATTTTATGATTCATGAAGTAAATATTTATATCAAATGAGAATATATTAAGATTACGAATTATGTATAAAATATAAATGAAGTATTTCTTACTTAATGTATATTTATAAGAAAATAAACATAATAATTTTTAGAAACTTAAAATTAATTGAGTAACTATATAATTGACATGATGATGCGATGCCAACATGAGTTACTACATAGCTGATATATTTTGCATTTTGATTCAATTTTTATAATATGTTATTCATAAGTTATTAAATGTCATAAACGGATGGTATTATAAAGTGTTTTAAAAATAAATTATATTCTCATTTCATATATATGATCAAAGAAAATGTTATCATTATTATTTTATATACTCAATTTGAGTAATCTTGAAAATAATCATTATAATTGTACAAGAAATTATGTTCCTTCTATTCTTAAAGAAAAATTATTTTCAAGAAAATATATACAATGATAAAATTTGTAGTGCAAAATTCATATTTTTCATTACATGTTAATTCAACCACACATGCAGCTAGAGATGGACAGTCAACGGGCCGGGCCGGGGCCCCATCCAGCCTCCCTTGGGTGACCCTTGATCGGCCGCCAAAAACTAAGGGTCGGGCCCGTGAACCGGCCATGTTCCGGCCCGGTCTCGGCCCGTCGAGACCAATAGTAGAAAAAATCGGACACAGAAACGACTCGTAAAGTCACGGTGACGGTTCTCGGAATGGCAACCTACGGGACGGTTGCTGACTGGGACCGGGACCACGGGCCGGCCCAGCCCGTGGCCATGTCTACATGCAGCGTGAACACCTCATATATGCATCATGAAATTATATGCAAGTAAAACGACATTGTCCTCGTTTAATCACTAAACAAAACAAAATAAAACGTGATTTCGCAATACAAGACTAAAGGTGTGCATAACTCGACTAAAATCGGAAAAACCAACTGACCCAAAAATTTCAGTTCGTTTTTATCCAACTAGGTCGGTTTTCGGTTTTAGCCGAATGATTTTTTGGTTATTTCGATCTTGCCAGTTTTCGGACATCAAATATTCGAAATAATCGAACCGACTGAATAATATATATATATATGTATATATTAAAATGTATAATTCGGTCGGTTTGACCAAGGCTCACTCTCAACCTATGTGGTTACACTGTGATAGTAAGTCTGAACAACATATTGCGGGAATTCGGCTTTTCATGAGCGCACTAAGCACATTGAGGTGGATTGCCACTTTGTTCGAGATGTTGTTCTCTTCAAGTCTCATTTCTACTACTCATGTTCTTTCTAGAGAACAACTCGCTGACATTTTCACCATGGCGTTTGGGAAGCGTGAATTTGATTTCTTTCTTGACAAGTTGGTCATTCGGAATCTGCATGCTCCAACTTTAGGGGGGGNNNNGGGGGAGGGGGTGTAATTGTGTATATTTTTTTGTATTTACTTTATTAGCCTTATTTTATCTTTAGATTGCTTTAGCCCTAATTTTGTGTGTATATTCTTGGTTAATAGAGAGTTGTGTCATCCGATTGAGATGATCACTTTTTCCAGATTCATCTTTGTCTCTTTTGTATCACATATCATCGGCGCCCGGTGGGTAGAAGTCGGGTTTCACGACCTCCCCGGACGGTGTCCATCCCGACGGCGGCCACCATGGACCTGGTGATGAAGCGACTGTAATGGCGGGGCTTCGCCGGAGTTGGCGTCGGAAATGACTATCTGTAGTGCTAGTGTCAGCGGTGGGTGGGTGGTCGGATAGCTGTCGGCGTAAGGGTTGGGGGTTTCCTGTGGTGCGTGTGTATGGTCAGAATGTGTGGATTTTTGTGTGTAATTTTTGGTGACGGGTGTGACAACTACGAGCTGGGATGTGGTGGTGGTTATGGTGGCCGACGTATACCCGTTGCCGAAATGTGTGATGTGTGTGTGCGTAGTGAATGTAAAAGAGGGAGAAAGATGGGTGGTGGGCTCTAGTGAGAGAAATAGAATAGTTAGTAGGTGATAGAAAATTACACTACTGCCCTTAAAGTTTACTAATAGACCAAAAATTACCACATACACTACAAGAAAACACTTCAATTCCAACGGCAAAAATTTCCGTTGGAAATTCCAATGAATATTCCAACAAACTTAATTTTATGTTGGAATAAGTGTTGGATGGTTGAGAAATTCCAACGGATTTTTTCCGTTGGAATAGCTGTAAGAATTTATTTTCATAGGATTTTCTGTTGGATTTTAGCTATTCCAACAACCATTTTTCCCACAAATTTTTATATGTAGGAATATCCGTTGGAATAGCTATTCCAACGGAAAATATAAAGAATTTGAACGAAAAATTTCCGTTGGAATGTAAGAGTTTTTTTTTGCAGTGATAAATACAAAATTGCCATCGTGTGTTTGATTTGAATTATTAATCTTGACTTCATCTTAATCATAAATAAAATGAATTGAATGGCTGAAAAATATGATCACTTAAACTTTGCTACTCTATCCGAACAACACACCTGGACTCTATCACTTAAAAAGCTACTTACATAATAGTTAATGTGAATTGTTTAGTCGAGCTAAATCTTGGGGGTAGGGTCACTTTAGATCCTATATGTATGTAGATGCTAAACATATCTTAAATATGAGAAACATCACTATCTTAGGTTAGGTCCTGTGGGTTATTATTAGCTTACGAAACAAACACATTACAGCACATTAATTTCCAACTTTTCATCAGTATTAATGTTACATCCTACTTGCCATTGGCTTATTTCTCCATGGAAAAATGGGGTGGCCCCATCAGGTGAAACGCATTATAAAATGGTGAGTTTAGGTGTACTTCAACCAAGTTTCATTCTAAAATCGATTGGTGATGTAAAAATAGTAATTTAAAATTTATGTCATAATAACTGGTTTTATAAA